CCCGGCGCCCGGGGGCAGGCCTCGGAGCTGGTGGAGCCCACGCGGTTGCCGGGCAGCGCGGGCGAGCTCGCGTTCCACCTGTCCGCCTTCGGCAAGGGCTTCGTGCTGCGCCTGGCGCCCGACGCCAGCTTCCTGGCGCCCGAGTTCAAGATCGAGCGCCTCGGGGGCTCCGGCCGGGCGGCCGGGGGCGAGCGGGAGCTGCGCGACTGCTTCTTCTCCGGCACGGTGAATGGGGAGCCCGAGTCGCTGGCGGCCGTCAGCCTGTGCCGCGGGCTGAGCGGCTCCTTCCTGCTGGACGGCGAGGAGTTCACCATCCAGCCGCAGGGCGCGGGGGGCTCCCTGCGCCAGCCGCACCGCCTGCAGCGCTGGGGGCCCCGGGCGCGCCTCGGGACCCCCGGGCTCGCCTCCTCCGAAGCCCACCCCCTCCCCGGAGGACCCGAGTGGGAGGTGAAGGGAGAGGATCAGAGGCAGGAGAGAGGAGACGAGGAGCAGGAGAAGGAAGAGGTGGAGGAGGAGGAGGAAATGGAGGAGGAGGAGGGGGGCAAAGAAGAGGAGACAGAAGGCGCCAGCGATCTGCCACCACCCCTGGGGGCCACGAGTAGGACCAAGCGGTTTGTGTCCGAGGCTCGCTTCGTGGAAACGCTGCTGGTGGCCGATGCGTCCATGGCTGCCTTCTATGGAGCCGACCTACAGGTAGGACTCACTTTGCCTGGAGGCCCCCAGTCACCTCCTAGAGCCTCCCAAATCTTCCCTTTCCAGTTCCTCTGAGAAAATCCTTCACGTTCCTCATCCTCCCAAGACCTACCCCAAACAAGGTGCTTTCCTTTCTGAGAAAGCGCAGTAACTCACTTCTTAACCTCTGACCCTTGGGGTACCTACTGCCCCTCTCCCCCGTGTCCCTTCCAGGATAGAGTGGAGGTCCTGGCTCTTCCTTGACCTCTGCCGCTCACCTTCACCCCTGGCATCCTGAATCTCCTTCAGCACTTGGCAAACTGAACTAAAAGTGGGTTTTAAAGCGCACCCCCCTCCCCCAGGCACCTGCCTCTCCCAACAGAGATGAAAACTGGACATTTTGGAAGAGCATCCACTCTATGCTCCATTTCTCAGCCCTCTACTGTCTCCAGACCTGAGAGGTTCCCAAGGATAGTCGGCTGGGACGGAAAGATGTGTCTATTTCATTCCCTTTGCGGACAGAACTGAGGTTGCCATAAGTAAAAGATATTGTTTGGAGGGAGTTGAACCTGGAAAGGGGCTGCCCAACTTCTGTGTGCCCAGCTGGTTCTGATCAAGGGGCATGGACTACCTTGCCAACCTGGCACTCGGCCCCGGCCAAACTTGGCAGTGCCAGCATCAGCACAAAAAGGGAGGGGAACAGAATTTCTGCCTGGGGGCTCAGCCTGGGAAACTGAAGCTTCAGTGGAAAAGGGAGGGCATATGAACGCTTTCAGTTAATGTTCCTTGTGGAGCCAGAACTCCGCTTGGTCCACCCCAGCTGCTCTCAGCCCAGACACAGCTCTCTACTGAACTTGGGCAGGAAAATTGAATTCAGGGGACAGCTCCTGTAGCCAGACCATGTCTAACTAGAATCAGAGGTGGTGCAGGACTCAGCAGGAGGAGTCTCTGTCACCTTGTGTCCCAACACCTCCCCCAAGAACCAGGTGAAGTACAAGGGTTCCAGGGGAGGGCTATACTTTCTCTTCTCCTGAGGAGCACAAAACCAGAGGTGTGCCAGATAGAGAAGACCTGACCTGCCCAGAGGTCAGAGATGCCTGCAGCAGGGATCCCGGCCACTGCCGCAGCTCAGTTAATGCCTTTTCAATAATGGCAGTCTTGGCCAGTGACCCTCTTCTAGGCTCAGCCTATGCCCGACTGTTGGGGGCACCGAGTGCTTCCGCATCACCTGTGCAGAACAGTCTAGATGATGCACGCCATCTTCATCACTCTGCAATCACTGGGAAGCGCATCTAGATGGAAGGATGGGAAGAGCTAGGGGTGAGAGGTCCATGTGGCTGCTTCTCTGGCTCCTGCAGGAGCAGTATCCTTTGCACACTGTTGGAGTATTCGCTTCTCCCAGAGCACGGTAAGGCAGCTTTGAGCCGTCAGTGTGGTCTTCCCAATAGGCTTCGGGTCTATGAAGATTGAATATCTGTTTCCATGACTACCCTGAGAGCAGGGGGAGGCACCAGCTGACTCCTCTGACTCCTTTTCCTCAAGCAAGTCCTCAAGAGCGTAGCTAGCGGGGCTTCTCCCATCACAGGTTAGGACCACCACACCTGGCTACTAGGGGGCTCGACCAAAGAGAGGCTAAAAGTACAATCACTGCAAACCCAGAGCTGAGAGCCTTGAGCCCATCCCCAGGCAGGGACCAGGTTCTGACGTCTGCCTAAGAACCAGGAGGTAGGAAAGACGACAAGAACACAAAGAAGCAGCAGAAAAAGGACTTTTCAGGCTTCAGAGCCAAAATGTTTTCTCTAGTGCCTTCCTACCATCTAGCTCTCTCAGCCCATCATCACCCAGTAACTTAAGACACTGAGTATTTGCCTCAAGGAGGTATTTGGCTGGGCTGGGTCTGCCCCAGGTTCTCCTCACAGAGACGCCCCAGAGTGCTCCCACCCTTACAGATTTCTGGGTGGATGACCCAGTGCATGCTTGTCCCACCCCCTGTCCCTCCACACACACCGTTTCTGGACCATTCACAGACACGCTCCTTGCACCCAGCCAGCCTATGTGGGTCAGGAAAGCACATCAGGCCCCTGTGTAGGCTGAGGTCCTTTCCGTAGGGTATCTCCTTCCAGGTCCCACACCCGAAGGAAAAGTGCTCTCCCGGCTTGACCAGCTCCATCACCCCCGCCTTGGTCTCCTTATGTCACTGCCCATTTACACCCCTGCTGTCGCCATGTTGGGATGAGGCAGGGACTGAGGCACGGCTGCTTCTATGACCTCCCACTGACCCCTCTGCTTTGACTCCTCACCAGCTGTGGAGATGCCACAGGATAGACTTGAACTTCTCAGCTCAGTCCCCTGGGCTTCCTAAACAGGTCCATGAGCTCAGCCAAAACAAGAATGAATGTCAAGTTCTAGTTCCCCAAGACCTTGCCTGCCCAGACCCATCTCCCCAAAATAGAATCCAGTTCTTTATTCTTCAAGGAATCTCCTGGAGACTTCAATCAAAGGATGGAAGGCACTTTGGGGTGTCTTAGCAACCAGGGGTGTAAGTAAGGATGAAGAGACTTCACCCCCTTGAGGGCTTGCATTTCCTCCTCTGTGAAGCCAGACCCTGCTCATCAGGACTAATATAAGCATCAGTGAGGCTGCTTCATGATGAGTCTTCTAGAAAGTTCAGCCATTGTCTGAGTGCGTTCAATTTGCACAATGGTTTGCATGCATCACCTCAGCAGAAATACCTGTGAGAGAGGCAGAGGAAGAACGTTCAGCTCACAGGGAATCTGTGACTTTCTCAAGGTCACACAGCTAGTAAGCGGCATGGCTGGGTCATGACCCAATCTCCTGAACCTGGGGGCAGTGCTCTTTCTTACTGTGCCGTGAGGTTTCTTTAGCCCGAGGAGGGTCTGTGACGGTGGCTCTGCTTACCCCCTACACTTGTCTGTATTGTGGGAATGGGGCATTGAATCCAGCAGTCCTAAGATGCCCAGCCAAAGTGGGAGGCCCTATCCTGGGAAGAAACCACCTTCAAGGCCAAGAGAAAGAATTAGCCACGCTCGAGGCTGGTCACACTGTGAAGCGACAATGAAGTTTTCCAGAACTCTGTACACTTGAGTTCACTTAATCCCTTGACAGAAGGGGCCCCTGCCTCCCACCTTCTTATCTGGTTTCAGAGTTAATGAGCTCAGACAAAGGGGGCTTTCTGAAAGGAGGGACCACCTCGGAAGAGGCCATTAACTCTGTCTGCATCGGGCTGCCTCCGATTGTTGCCTGGACGAAGCTGCCGCAGGAAAGCTGTGAGTGGCGGGCTGGGCCGTGCCCCACGGTGGACTCGAAATCCGTCCCGCCAGTGTATCAGCTGAACTCTGAACTCTCTGCTGAGCAGAGAGGGTCCGGGGAATGGCACTCCTCAATCCCAGAGACCAGAGGATCCCCAAGATGTCAGGCTACCAGCAAGTGATTTCAGGGAAGGGTTAAATCCCAGCCATTCCGTCTCCCCCTTACCCATGTCCTCTGGGAAAATGTCTCCCACAAGCCCTAACACTAAAGGGACCACATCTCCCAGCACAGTCGCCGTTTAGGCCTGTTCTGGCATGATTATTAATAGCATCATCTTCGCTCTCAAAAGCGTCCTGGTTTGGATAGTGACTGAAGCAGACGCATGCCCCACTTGCTCTGTAGCTACCTACATCCTCATGGGGGAAAGACTTGTATTCTATCCGTGTGTGAACTCTGTTCCCCTCCTGGCAAGAGAATGAGTCTTTTCTGTCTCTTTTGTCTGCTCCAGTCAGAAGGACCAACAATATGAAGCTTTTCCCAAAGAAAATGCCTTAATATTCAAAGGTCTTTGATTTACCACCTCTGCCCCCGCAGGTGTAGACAATGCCAGGGGAAAGCTTGCTTGCTGGCGTGCTTTGGGTTTGTTTTGGCTATGCCGCAGTTGTCCTTGTAGCAGCAAGGAGAGGTGGCAGTCAGTGTGGTGATTAAGAGCATATACTTTGAAGGGTCCTCGAAATAAGCTGAGTGTCCTTGAGCAAGTTACCGATTTCTCCGCACCTTGATTTCTTCACCAGCAAAATAGGAACAGTTATACCAATGTCCCAGCATTACCCTGAGGATACAATAAAATATGGAAAGCACCTGACCCAGTGCCTGGCACATAGTAGGTGCTCAATAAAGCGTAGCTAATAGTGGAGTTGCCTTTTGTGATGGCGTTTGTCAGAGTAGGACGTGCCTTCACAGTCAGCCCATTGCCATGTCAACTCCGCGGTCCTACGCGGCAGGGAGGCCTTCCTTTTCAGCTTGCTTGGCTCAGGGTGTTTAAGCTTGACTCCTTGTGGTGTGTGTAGTTTTGGAGAGGTGACATTGCACCTTGCTATTTTGAGAATGAGGAGAGATGAAGGACATCGGTGCAGGACCCTCTCTTTTCTCCAATTGCTTCTTTACTCTTCTTTGCTTCTCCACCACCTCCTCAGCAGTCTTGGGCCCTAGAAGGACTCCCAGTAGCAAAAGTGTGGCACCAATTGCTGAGGTCAGAAGGTTTCCATGTGGTCACTCTTCTTCTCCTTGCCTCTCCCAGGCGTGCTGCAAGGAGAAGCGATGGGAATCACAGTATGAAGAGCAAATGAGCAAAGCATAGGGATGACACTCTGAGCAGAAGGAGCTGCTAGAAATGCATTTGGCCCAGGCCCAGACTTCTAGACTCCCCCCACAGTTGGCTTTGGCTGCCATGGGAGCTCTGGGGGAGGAATGTCCCTAGTTGTATCACAAAGAATCAAAGAGGGCTGTGTCCCAGCCTAGCTGCCTAGGGCATTTCTTTCTCTTCTTCAGGTCATAGGGGCACCAGTGAAGAAGGAGACTCCCTTAAAAAATGCCGTGTCTTGTAACACCCACTGCTCATTACATCAAGTGCCCTCATTAATGCCCATCACCCAGTTACCCCATGGTCCCACCCACCTCCCCTCCAGCAACCCTCAGTTTGTTTCCTAGAGTTAGAGTCTCTTATGGTTTGTCTCCCTCTTTGATTTCGTCTGATTTTATTCTCCCCTCCCTTCCCCTATGATCCTCCATCTTGTTTCTTAAATTCCATATATGAGTGAAATTATATGATAATTGTCTCTCTCTGATTAAAAATCCATGGTAATTTGAGAGAGAAGGTATAGAAAAGAAGGTTATTTGCACCAGACTGAATTCCTGATTCAGGAGACTTATAAAAAAACAATCAAAACAATCTTAGTTCTGAAGACGATAGGCAATAAACTAGACAACTTTTACTTTTGGCATTTGTTTATTTTACTGCCAGAATTTGATTATATTTAGTATGAATATAGTTTTTATGATACGTTATAATAATCATTATTGATCCAGTGAAGTTATAATCAGATGTATGATGGTATAATTGTCTCCAGGTTAAAATAGAGCATGACCTTGGTAAGCTATTCAACTTGTATGTCTACGATATCACTGTACCCTCCACGATCTTAATATCTTTGTTCCTTTTCATGCACATTTCTCTTGGTGTAATATGCAGCAAATGAATACACAGAAGCCTATGTGAGCCTGTCAATATATTCTTTCCAACCCAGTTTAGAAAAAGAGTAGACATTATCTTGATTTGCTCAATCTTTCTATTAAATACACGAACTGAGAGTGTTTAAACTTCTCAACATCTGGTTGGTGGCAAAGACAAAAAAAAAAAAAAAATGCCGTGTCTTTTCCTAATGAGAATTAAGGGCATGAGGTCCCCAAGTCATTCAAGAGCAGGATTGTTTGACCACCCCTGGCCAGGCTGGCCATGGGCTCCCACCTACCTGACGTGGTTCTTGGAGGTTGTCTGCTGTGCTGGGGCCCCCACTCCACCAGGGGCACCATCTTGTTCACATTCTTCAGCAAGCAGCCCACACTTGGGTGGTGCACAAAGAAGTATAAATAGACACCAGGTGGTGGAGTGAGCCATCTGACCTTCTCCTCGACTGGCTCCTGAGCCCTCTCTCTGTGGAACTGTAAGTCAAGCCTGGCCTTTTGGCCCAGGGTACTGCCGAGACTCGGAGGCTCACAGACTCTCTCGGCCACTGCCCCCACCAGGTCCCTCCCCCAAGGGAACTGTAAGATGCACTGCAAATGTCAGGCATTCCTCCCATGGTTTCTTAGAGGAGCTAACAGTGGGGATAGCAGTGCTTCCCACCTCCAAAACCTCAGCGAGACAAGACGAAAGGGGAGGTGAGCAGGACCAGGATTGGAGACTTTAACAGAAACATTGGACCACATAGACCTTGCAGCTCTCTTGCAGTGGAAATTATCTTCTGAAATAGCAACCAGAAGACATCCAAATGCTCTCAACTCTAACCGTCTGCCTTGAAGGGAAATGGCCCTCAAGCCCGCTCAGCCTGACAGGTATTTAGTGTCCGGAGAAGATGCTCTGAGCTCCCGGAACCGCAAGGGAGGCTCCCTGAAAATCCTAATGTCGGGAAGCCTCCCCTGGTGCCTCACCTCGTTCCTTTGCACAGAAATTGACACCCGTGTGCCTTTGGCTTTCACTGGGGGCGTGGCCAGTGCATGGTCCCCACTCAGCCGCGTTGCCCCAGAGCCTCAGTCTGATCTGGTCAGCTTGAGAACACTGAGCCCTCTTAAACCTCAAGCCTGCCAGGACTGATGCTGAGCAGCTGGTATCTCTTGTGGTCACACCTTCTTTGTAAAACATGGTCTCCCCAATTTTGAGATTGTGAAACTGGGACTCAAAGGGAAGAGATCTTGTGAGGAGAGTTACAGGTTGCCTCTGAAGAAATTCCAGGGCTTGGTCCCTGGCCCATCAGATTTGACCCTTCCTGGGGCAAGAGAGCAGGAGAGTCTGTCTGCCCCCTGGAAACAGCGAAGGCCTGGCCAGGAAGTAGTCTCAACGAGCTCCCATTCCTCAGCCCTCACCCCCAGTTGCATAATGATGTGATTGCTTTTCTCCCTCAGGAATCCAGCTCTAGGAGCAAGCGCCAAGTTTCAGCTTTGCTGATAAGATGTTTACATCAGCCTAAACATAGCTAGAGTGCTTGACACGCTAAGAAACCTGCCAACCGCTGTTTGTAGGGCTTACAAAATACTTGGCTTGTTGCCCACGAGGTGAACAGACAGATCCCATTCACAAATAATAGGATTCGTCTGGAACTCCCACACATGGCCTCAACTGACGGAGTGTCCCTCTTTAGCCTTTCACCCTCTTTTCCCCTCCTTCCCCTCCTACCTTCCAGACCACAGGAGAGAAAAAAGAAAGGCTGACGGGAGATGGTGCCCTAGGGAACGGGGAGCGGGGGCAAATGAATGGCAGCTTGGCTGGCCACACTCCCAGCTGAAGGCCTGCGTGCCCCTGCCCCTTTCTTTCCTGCAAAACAATCCAAGAGGACTCACTTCTAGAGGTCCCTGAGGCAGGAGAGTGAGCTCCATCTGGCCACCTCCAAAGCCTTGGGAGTAGTTGGCAACCCAGGGATAGGACAGAGGCCAAGCAATGATGTGAACTCCTTCAGCTGGTCTGGGCAAAACTGGAAGCAGGGGTGATCCTCAGTGCCTGGATCTCATTAGGCCCACTGCCCCCTCTCAAGCCCCTGGCAGAAAGGAAGAACCCTTTCAGGGTCGTCCAGAAACCCAGCAGTCAAGCCCTGGGAAACTTCATTTGGAGAGTGTAGGCTTCACAGACAGACGTGCCTGGGCCGGTGTCCTGGCTTTAAGAGTTGTGTGACCTTAGACAGCTTGTTTAACTCGTGTGAACCTCTTTTCCCTCATTTGTAAGACCGGGATGACAATGCCCGCTTCACAGAGTGAGTGTGAGTGTTTAATGAGGTGCAGGTCTGGTGACGGGGGCAGACTAACCATTAGTGACTACTGGAACGATTTCAGGGTTAACAGGGCCCATCCTGCAGAGTAGAAGTTACCCCAGCAGGCATCAGGAAAATGCTCCACTGGATTCTAAGGGACACATTCTACTAACCTTGAACACTCAAATAATTGCTTCTGGGCTGAGAACAGAGAGGGGATGGGGCGGGGGCAGGGGGGGCTGGCAGGGAGTTGCTTGGTGTCAGAGTAAGGCAGAATAATAACCAGTGCAGTCCAGTAGGACCTTCTGGTGATGATGGAAATGTCCTGTCTGCTCCGTTTAATACAGAAGCCTTGAGCTATAGGTGGCTACCGATGTACTTGAAACATGGCCAGTGTGACCAAGGCACTGTGATTTCCATTTTATTGAATTTTAACTGACTTCGATTTACACAGCCACATGTGGCTGGTCGAGATGTTAAAGGCACAAGCTTTGGAGGCCGGCCATCTGGGTTCAGGGGCTGGCTGTACACTCATTAGCTTTGGGATCTTGGGCCAGTTACGGAGCCTCCATGTTCTTATATGTAAAATGAAGGGAAATAATGCCGGGACCTCCGGGGTTTTGTGAGTCTTCAGCAAGATGCTTTATCTCCAGCGCTCAGTGCAGAGCCCGGCACATGGAGGGGGGTGGCAGCGGGCAGGCAACGGGCCGGGAGATCGAACCCTTCCCTCCCCCTGCTCCCATCTTCCCGACAGAACCACATCCTGACGCTGATGTCCGTGGCAGCCCGAATCTACAAGCACCCCAGCATTAGAAATTCCATCAATCTCATGGTGGTAAAAGTGCTGATCGTGGAAGATGAAAAGTGGGGCCCAGAAGTGTCTGACAACGGGGGGCTCACCCTGCGCAACTTCTGCACTTGGCAGCGGCGTTTCAACCAGCCCAGTGACCGGCACCCAGAACACTTTGACACAGCCATTCTGCTCACCAGACAGGTCTGTGGGCTGGTTCCAGAGAGCCCAGGCAGGAAGGGAGGCGGGATGGGCGGATCAAAGGGAGGACCACGAGGCCTGCCCAAACATGGGAAATGTCTCCCTGCTGGCCCCAGCTAGACGCCAGGAGCTTCGTGTGTGGAATGATGAGGGGGAGGTCATGAGGACAAGTGTGAGGTATTTGCAAGGGAAGGAGAGGAATCTCGTAAGGGCTCTTTTCCAAAAGTTTGTGACCAGCTGTCTGCTGAGGTCATAACAAGAGGAAATGGGCTCAAACTGCCCAGTAAAAGATCTTGAGTTGGAATGTAGAGAGAAGGTCCATCTACAATGACTGTTAAACACAGAAGCAGGGAACTGGAGGTCACCTTGAGATTTCTCCAAATCAGGAGGCCTGCCCTCCTAGCTGGTGCAATTGAAACAGCTTCCCGAAGGCTGGAAAATCTAATATGTGCTGCCCTGTTGACGCCTTTAGTCCTCAGGACAACCCCACCAAGCCCCGTTTTACAACTCAGGAGACTGAGGCATAGACTGCCCCCCCACACACAGTGGCAGCACCCAAAGTCAAGCCTAGGCAGTCTTGCTGCAGGGTCTGTACTCTTCAGCACTGTGCTATCCTGCCTCCCAAAACAAGCCAGCCCTAGGACATGCCAACTCTAGGACACAAAGTCCCAGCCAGCCCTAGGACACACCTGTGTAGAAAAAGAAATGGGCTTCCTCACACAAGTGGCCTTTGTGAAGAAATAGGGCCTTTGGCTTACAAATTTTCCTTCAGGGGCACCTGGGTGGTGCAGTAGGTTCAACGTCCGACTCTTGATTTCCGCTCAGGTCATGGTCATGGGGTTGTGAGATCGAGCCCCGTGTCAGGCTCTTTGCTGGGCATGGAGTCTGCTTGAGATGCTCTCTCATCCCCTCCCTCTGCCCCTCCCCCTCCCTCACTCTCCCCCTCTCTAAAAAAAAAATTTCCTTCAACTTAGGAGAAGCAGAAATAGGAAGATTTTCTGTTGTATGTCTGTTCTCATGCCCTCACTCTCTCTGCCAAGCAGAACTTCTGTGGGAAGGAGGGGATGTGTGACACCCTGGGCGTGGCGGACATCGGCACAATCTGCGACCCCAACAAGAGCTGCTCCGTGATCGAGGATGAGGGGCTCCAGGCGGCCTACACCCTGGCCCATGAGCTAGGTAAGACTTGCCATGCCAAGCCTACTGTATTCTGTCAGGGGGAACTGCCTCTTCCAAATCCAGGCCAGCCCAGGGTCTAAGGAAGATGCAGCTCTCACACTTGGCCAGGTTCTACTCAAGAGTTCTGACAGAGTGATTATATGTAAATAGATACTGTACTTTCTCCATTCCCACCCTGAACATGAGGCCATGATATTAAAATAGGGTCTTGGATCATCATCAGGGGTCCCCAGGAAAATGCCAAAATGGAAGAAATGCTCGGGTAAAGTTGCGATGCTTTGCCCAAGCTAAGCAGTCACAGTAAGAATTCTGGGGAAATCCATTGTAAAGAGAGTGCTGTGTCAGGGAGTGAATCATTGAGGACAGGCTGAGGCAGAAAACAAAGGGCTATCAAGGTTCCCCCGGTACTCTGAGAAAGTTTTCTGCAAGAGAAAAGCCCAGAGTGAAGCCCCAAACAAAAATCTTTAAGGAAGAAGGGCATGGCCATCCCCATGAGGAGCTGGTGACTGGTTGGCCCGAGACGCCCTCTTCTGTCAGCGGAGGGTGGCTGTCTCCCCAGAGAGAGGGAGAGGGGTGCTGGGCTGTGTGGGGAGCTCTTGGGGTGGGACAGGGCGGGCTGGAGGGCAGTGGAGACTGGTTAGGGTGGACTTCAGGTCTCTCTCCACCCCAGGGCACGTCCTCAGCATGCCCCACGACGACTCCAAGCCCTGCACGCGGCTCTTTGGGCCCATGGGCAAGCACCACATGATGGCGCCGCTCTTCGTCCACCTGAACAAGACGCTGCCTTGGTCCCCCTGCAGTGCCATGTACCTCACGGAGCTCATGGACGGTGGGCACGGTGGGTGTCCCGCAGGCTGCTCCCTGCCTCTTTCTGGCCCGCTGCTGGTGTTTGAGGTCTGCCCCACCCGCCTCCATGATGGCGAGAGTGCCAGTGGCATGTGTGCAGCTTCTGGTGGAGCTCCTTCACGGAGCATCCGAGGTGTCTCGGATAGAACAGGTGCCGGACAGGTGCTCCTCACCCAGCCTCGCCCTGTGCCATGGCAGCCTAGGGGGATGTGCCCCTCCCCACAAAGCGTACTCTTCCTTGCCCTATCTTCCAGCAGACAGCGTGGCTGGGCTAACTTAGATGACTAGTCCCAGAGCCGGTAGAATTAGTCTGAGAAGGTCTGTCTGGAGGAGGTGGGTTTGAACAGAGCTCGAAGGAATGGAAGAACGCAGTACAGAGGAGAGAAGAGAGCATCCCGGCTGGAGAGATAGATCATGCTGTAGCTTAGGAATGGCAAAGAGGCAGGGAACAGGTCAGTGTGACAGCAAGGGTGGGGGATGGGGGTGGGTGGCATGCCAGGTTAAAACCATTGGACTTATTCAGTAAAGCAGTGAAAACACAACTTACTCTTGATTGTTCTCATCGAACGAGGCAGGGACACCTAAGATACAAAAGTAATAGATTATCCAAACATCAGTACTTAGGCTTTATTTTGCCTGCCATGGTTTTTGAGAGCGCATTTGCATCCCCCATTATATGTGCCGTAGATTAGTATTACAGTTAGCTGGCATTCCCTAGGTACACGCTGAATGTATATAAGATGTTCTGGATAACAAAAAAAAATTCAATCCTAATAAAATTTTACTTAACTGAGAGTCAAAAATTGGATAAGCTCATAGAGATGATTGAGTGTTGAGTTTTTAGCTTACGGTCAAGGAAATTATGATGGCTAGGTCTTACACCCCATCAATAGGAATTTCAGTGTAATGTGGGAGGCCACTGGAGAGCTGAGAGAGGGAAAGCCCCGCTCCTCATTCTTGTTCCTCTGCTTTCCTCCATTTCTCAGGAGACTGTCTCCTGGATGCCCCCACCTCGGCCCTGCCCCTGCCCACAGACCTGCCGGGCCGCAGCGCCCTCTATGAGCTGGACCAGCAGTGCAAGCAGATCTTTGGGCTGGGTTTTCGCCACTGCCCCAACACCTCTGCACAGGACATCTGCGCCCAGCTCTGGTGCCACACGGAGGGCACCGAGCCCCTTTGCCACACCAAGAATGGCAGTCTGCCGTGGGCTGATGGGACGCCCTGTGGGCCTGGGCACCTCTGCTGGGATGGCAGCTGTCTGCCTGAGGAGGAAGTGGACAGGCCCAAGGTGAGGGATGGCCACTTGGGGGTGTGGGAGGAGAGGGAGGGGGAGGGCTGTTTTCAAGGAAGAAACCACACTTGAGAGCCACGAACTAAGAGACTTTGGGCCAGGCTGCAACTATGACGTCTAAGTAAAATCATTCGTCTTTTAACAAACAAAGCAAAGCATATTTACCCAAACTCAAGAGGAGCCCTTCGAGGCTGGACTCAGAGCAGACGGACGACACCACCAGTGCTCAGGGCCTTCTGAGAACTCCCCCTTTGGAATTGTTTTGGGGTGGACCAGAAGGCTTATGAGGATAGGTGATAGGCATGAAGCATTCCAGCACAAAGATCAGATCGTGGCCATTCAATAAAGGGAGGCCATTATGAATTCCATTATAAACAGATAGTGTGATGGCAGAAGAGGAACAATCAGTCAAGAGCTGAGGGAAAAGTATTCATAACCTACCCATGTCTGAGCTGCGTTCATCTTCAGAGGTCAGGAGAATGAGACTACTTGTGGGAATTCCATACTCAGGAGGGGAGAAGGAATCAAGCTGTCTCTGACCAGGCAGAGAAAACTTGGCCTAGGACTGAGGAAACTTACAAGAAAAACCAAGGCAATGTCAGCGAGAGTTTTTAAATGATTCATTTCTTTGCCCTGCTCTTAATACTTCCAAACTGTGAGGCTGATCACGTTTCTCTTACTGCAAGTCACTAAGCCCTGCCTATGAAACAGCATCCGCCGAGTTTCGCAGCCTGGTCTGGGCCCAGCACTGAATCACCAGGGTGGCCTGAGCACTCACTCTCCAGAGGGCTGTCCTCAGTGGCATGTCCTTTGCACTGAGGCTCAGGATCCTGCTTGGGCCAGGTAAGCCACACTCTTGCTAAGCTTGAACCAGGGCAGGATTCACAGATTCATCCTCAGCCACTTCTCATCCTCCCCATTCAGACACTGAGTTTCTTTTCCGTGTACTGACTCCCTCTACCCCCGTCCAAAGCACGTGCTTCATACATTACTGAGGGGAGGGGAGGAGGTCTGTCCAACATTCCTCGGCACCAGAGCCAAGCTCAATGCAGGGAGAGTTTGACATGGAATGATCATGGGATGATGTTTATCATCTATTTTTAAGGGCAAAAAAACAGATCATAAAACACTATATATATATATGACAGAATCATAACTATGTAAAATTAAAACATCACATCTTTATGATTATTCAGAGCAAAAGCGTGAGAGGTTATTGATGAAAATCACATCAGTGGTTTTATTTGGGGAGTGGTTTTTTTAAGTGTTGGTTTCTTTTTTTATACTTTTCTGTATTTTTCATTTTTTATATAAGCAACTTTTGTCATTTTTTAAAATTATTTCCCTTTTGAAAACTCTGTGAACCAATCAAGGGCAAAGCTTAGTTCTCATAGGTTGATCGTAAGGATGGAAGCAAATCTGATTATTTCCCAGGCATTATCCTACCATTGGAACTGGTAGCTGGTAGATCAATAGCAACAGTTCCCAGCAATTATTCCTTTAAAGCAGGACTTCTCAACCTCTGCACTAGAGACATTTGGGGCTGCATGAGTCTTGGATGTAGGAGGCTGTCTTCTTCATTGTTGGATGTTCGTTGTTGGATGCTCATTGTTGGGTGCTCATTGGTGGATGCTTGTAGTTGGATGCTTGCTGGGTGCTCATTGTTGGATGCTCATTCTTGGGTATTCATTGTTGGGTGCTCATTGTTGGAATCTCATTGTTGGATGCTCATTGTTGGATGTTCACTGTTGGATGCTCATTGGATGCTGATTGTTGGTTGCTCATTGTTGGATGTTCATTGTTGGGTGCTCATTGTTGGAATCTCATTGTTGGATGCTCACTGTTGGATGTTCACTGTTGGATGCTCACTGGATGCTCATTGTTGGATGCTCATTGTTGGAGGTTCATTGTTGGATGCTCATTGTTGGATGTTCATTGTTGGGTGCTCATTGTTGGATGTTCACTGTTGGATGCTCGTTGTTGGATGTTCATCGTTGGATACTCATTATTGGGTGCTCATGGTGGGTGTTCATTGTTGAATGCTGCTTGTTGAATGTTTAGCAGCACCCAACCTCTACCCGCTAAAGGCCAGCAGCATGCGCCCTCCCCAACTGTGACAACCAAAATGTCTTCAAACATTGCCAAATGTCCCCAGAGGATAAAAATGGCCCTGATGGAGAACTGCTGCATTAGACACAACTTTATTCCCATAAAATGTTGTTTCATTCAACAACTAATACCGAGCACCTTACTAATGGCAAGGCACTGTTTTAGACACTGGGAAGTCAGCAGTGAAGAAGTCCAGCACATCCTCTGTGTTCAAGAGGCCAATCGCCAAGCAAGCCACACAGTCACTAACAAATGATTAGGGCAGTTTACTGAACAACACCCACCAGGATGAGCATAACTAGGTGAGGAGGTCAGGGCCAGGGACCCCTGTTACACTGAGAGCTGAGCCTCCCCCCCACCCCGCCCCGCTCCTGACTCAGGGTGGCCTTGTGTGTTGCAGGCTGTGGTGGATGGAGGCTGGGCCCCATGGGGACCCTGGGGAGAGTGTTCCCGGACCTGCGGAGGAGGAGTACAGTTTTCACACCGTGAATGCAAGGACCCTGAGCCTCAGAACGGAGGAAGATATTGCCTGGGTCGGAGAGCCAAGTATCAGTCGTGCCACACAGAGGAATGCCCCCCTGACGGTAATCGCCACTGATGGTCACTACTGTTGTCACTGCAGCAGATCCCCAGACAAGAAGTAGGGTGGGTCTCCCAGGATGCAGAGCTTTCCTGTGAGCCAGACATAAAGGGACCCTGCAAGGCACCAAATTTTAAGGCAAAACCTAGTGGCCCCTAGACAACTCTCACTGTGCTGGGAGAGTGTAGCAAAGTCAAGGAAAGAAATTGCCCCGATCTTCCAAGATGTGGACATAGAGGATGTCATTCCCAACCAAACTTATTCAGGGAGTTGGGAGGAGCTCAGCAGAGGGGCTAGCGTCTAGGATAATAATCCTCCTGGAGGCATCTGAACCCTTGTCTGTGTGCAGAATAGAAGTGTTTTCCAAAGCAAGTGTCAGAGCCAAACCTCCACTGTCTTTCCAGCCAACATTCAGCCCAGGGTGGAGGGAGGGTTTCTGAATCTGATTCTAATGCACATTCCTTCTGAAAAGAGTTGCCCATCTTCCCTTGAGGCTGTGGCAACTGCCTGATGGAACCTTAACAGAGAGCAGCACCGCCCCTACCTCCCCTTGGCATACATTCCTACCTCCTAGTACCCACTAGAAAGCACACACATTAACTCAGAGGCAGCAGGGGTAGCAGCAAAACTGGTGAGAGGGAATCATTAGCAGTTTTTCCCCACCATCCCATCCAGCTCCCCTTTGTGTAGCTCCAGGAAATACTGGCAGACGGCAAAAGACATGCAGAGTTTTAAGAGAGATGCATCCAAGTGCAAAGACACACTGACATTGGGTTGGTGTCTAATGAGGGAATCTGTAGGCTTTGCAGTTTTGCAAGACAAGAAGGATCGGCAGCGGCATGCGGCTCTAGAAACTTTGCCCTGGAATCGTGAGAATTTGCCTGGCACATGGGGTGAAGAGAGAGAGAGAGAGAAGAGGGGAAGGGATGAAGATAAGGCACAAGGTAGACGGAATGATTTCAGTTGCACTGGGATCAGCCTCTCCAACAACAAGTGGTTTTTAGTGCCTCTCGTGTGGCTCAAACTATAATAGATGTTACAAATGACATTGTAAAAATGCACAAAGCATGGTCTCTGTCCTCAAAGAACTTGCAATCTAGTTAGAGATCCACATGCCTTTTACAAAGCAACTAAAGCCTAAGCTCTGAGGCCCGGACCCCCGGCTTATGAAGAATTCAGAGCAAGGAAAAGCCTGGGCTAGTCCGAAGCGTCACAGGAATTTAGGGCTGAGCAGGGCCTGGAGGATGGAGATGGTGACGGGGTGTGGGAGGACATGTGCCCGCGTGGAGATGGGGGGGCTTGAGAGGGGCTAGCATTCACTTGGGTGGAGGCAAGCAGCATACTAGCATTTTAAGGCTACACAGCAAAGGTCTGTGAAAGCTGAAATGGTATCTGGAGGTTCTCCGTGCAGGCTGTCCCATCACGTCACCTGGGACGCTTGTTGAAACACAGCGTTCCCAGACCGCTCAGGTGCATTGAATCGGAATCTTAGGAGTAGGGCATGGCCATCTGTGTTTTGAAAAGTCTCCATAGGCCGTGCAGAGATGCAGGGGTAGAAAACCTCAGTAGTAAGAGCAGGTTTAATTTCAGGATTGTGGGCCAAAAAAAAACAAAAAACCCATTTCTTACTTCTGACAGATTGTTCTGGAAGCAGCATGCAGCAGGATGGGAGAGGAGGCTGGGCACTAGGTCTCACATGAAACTGAGAGGCCTGGGCTTGTGGGAGGTGGACTCAGATGGTGAGAGTGGGAAGGAGACACTTAAAATCGCAGATTGTCATAAATAGAGTGTAGGACTTAAGGACAGGTTGGAAATAGTCGATGTAGATACTCAAGTGTTCAGCAGATATCAGATGCCAATCTCACACCAGAATGTGGCAGTATCCCCAAATGAAAACTAAACCAGTTCGTGGAGGAGCCATATGGGGTTAGGCTTTTTCTGAGCTGAAGGTAATCATCCTGCTATACATGGAGGTCCCCCGGAGACATCCAGAATTACAGCAGGTGAGCTACAGGGGCAGGATCAGAACTAGAGATGTCGATCTGAGAGTTTGGGTCACCAGTCAAATGTCATGAAGGAAGTCAAAATCGAGCATGATTAGCAGGGGCCCAAAAATATACTCCACGCATCATTCAAGCTTACTGAATGGTCCTCTGTTCCTACTAAGTTTATTCATCTGTAAGATAGAATTGGTATCTTCCCCCAAATGGAAAGGATATTTATCCCAGAAAGCCCAGCGTGAGGCTGGATGCTCCTTTCCTTGCCACATGGACCTAGGTCGGGCATGTCTAGGAATGTTGGGCCCAGATGACACTGAACCTATGTCCTGGGATTGGGTCAAAACCAGGAGGAAGAAAGGGGCCCTGAAGCTGGCATTTCTGCCACTGGGTCCTCTCTGCTTCAGCAAGGCATGTTAACTGCATGCCGTTTCTTACTCTTTGTAGGGAAAAGCTTCAGGGAGCAGCAGTGTGAGAAGTATAATGCCTACAATTACACTGACGTGGATGGGAACCTCCTACAGTGGGTCCCCAAGTATGCGGGGGTGTCCCCCCGGGACCGCTGCAAGTTGTTCTGCCGAGCCCGGGGAAGGAGTGAATTCAAAGTGTTCGAGGCCAAGGTAAGAGCCCTTCTGGAGCTCAGAACCACAGGTGGGGAGGAAGGCCACCTGCTCCGACCCCACCTGTGGGTGGCCTCTGTGCACACCATGCCCTCTGTTACCTTCTGCTTCCCTGCTGCAGGTGATCGATGGCACCCTGTGTGGACCAGAGACCCTAGCCATCTGCGTCCGTGGCCAGTGTGTCAAGGCTGGCTGTGACCACGTGGTGGACTCGCCTAGGAAGCTGGACAAATGTGGGGTGTGTGGGGGCAAAGGCAATTCATGCAGGAAGGTGTCCGGTTCCCTCAACCCCTCCAGGTGAGTGTCACCATAGTTCTGTGCCTAGGTTCCAGAAGAGCGGAACAGGCTTTAGAATCAGACTGGCCTAAATGCGAATTGTGGCAGCTACTTATTACCCATGCGGCCCTGAGCTGTAGTTTCTTTGTAAAGCTTTGGGAGTCCCCTCTATCTCGGAATCATCATACTGAGTCATGAGACGGGCGGAACGCTTGGCACAAGGTCTGGCCCACAGAGAGGACAGTGCACAGGGCAGCCAGAGGCCCTGAGGATAGGGGTGTATCAGCTCTGAGTCAACCAGCAATAGAGCTATGCTGAGTAACCAGGGCCCTTGCCAGAAAGCGGCTCTTCCAGGCCTGTTTTGGGAAGGACATCTCACCCTACACCTGGTGAGTCCCATCCTTTCTGCAGGTGGATCTTTCAAAACGGGGGTCCAAAGAGGGGGGTCTTGGTGGCCTTAGTGCTTTCATGAACCTGAGAACTCTGGACGCTTTCACACACCTGAACACCATATGTTCATGAAACCCCTAGTACTGAAATGCTTGCATTTCTTTTTTTTTTTCTTAAGTGCTTTCATTTCTATGGCCTCATTTGATTCCTAAAATAAGTCCAGCAGGTAGCCAATACTGTTATTCCCCACTTACAGATGAAGAAACCAAGGCACAAAAAGATCACATGACTCTCCTGAGGTCACACTGATAGTTAATGACAGCCAGGAAGAGAGCCCAGATGTCTTAATTCCTGGGCTGGTTTTCTCCTGCCATGGCACACAGTTCCTAGAGAGGAAGGGCCAGGGCATATGTTACGTGGCCACACTGTGCTCCTCTCTGTCTCTCGCCACCTCTCACCTTGTCGGCCTCAGAGAACAGAACCAGCCCACAGCAGACAACTTGGCAGTCTTCAAAGTTAAACGCAAAGGATAGAGAAAAAAGAAGCATGTGGTGTGGGATATTCAGATAGCAGGTCTGCTAGCTGGCTTTCTCTTAGGCATTAGACATATGGGGCTGTGGATTCTTTCAGAGCCACCCTAGACTCAGCAGCTAGCTGAGTGGGCAGAAGGCAAGAGTAGCAGAGAACCGACCTTCTGTCCTCAGTCTTCTTTGCTTTCCTCCCGGCCTATGTAATCCAAACACTTCTGCCCCAGAAGAGAAGAATAAAAACTAAGGTTTCTCCATCCCACGTAAAGCTCTAGACCTACAACAGAGTTGAAACACAGAAGAAGGCAACTAGAAGCAGCTTTATCGCCCTGGCTCCTGCCCTGGGGCCATGTTAACCAAATACTAGGGGCTGATTGGCTCTAAGAGGTGGAGTGAGATGTCCATTCTGGTCGGATTCTGGGACTGGTGTGTGGAGCAGATTTTTCCACATGGGTTTGAACTCTGGGTATGAAGGGGGCCAAGCAAAGGCTTATACCCGTGCAGGGAGCTAAGTGTGTTTGAGATCTCACTTGAGCCCAGAGCTGTCGGCTTTGGCAGCACCGAGGCAGTTTTGCAAGCCCTTCTGGGATGTCTTCCTCTGTGCTGATATCCAGATCCACACATCCGAACTCCAAACATTTGAAGCAGAGTTACCAGGCAAAGCAAAAACCCTTGAAAATCCCAAGGTACAAAACATTCTTGTCGGCCCCAGCAGCTAAGTTATGTGGAACTTTGGGGCAACCACTTGATGATTTGCTAGCGCTTTGTGACCGCCCACCCTAGTCACCAACATGCTAACTTGCTGAGGCGCTGGGCTGGGTAGCCACTGGTCCTCAAGGGGTCTTTCTGTCCCTACCATAGTTACGGCTACAACGACATTGTCACCATCCCGGCCGGGGCTACTAACATTGATGTGAAACAACGAAGCCACCCGGGGGTCCAGCACGACGGCAGCTACCTGGCGCTGAAGACGGCCGATGGGCAGTACCTGCTCAATGGAAACCTGGCCATCTCTGCCATAGAGCAGGACATCTTGGTGAAGGGGACCATCCTTAAATACAGCGGTTCCATTGCCACCCTGGAGCGGCTGCAGAGCTTCCGGCCCCTGCCCGAGCCTCTGACCGTGCAGCTCCTGACTGTCCCTGGTGAGGTCTTTCCCCCCAAAGTCAAATATACCTTCTTCGTTCCAAATGACGTGAACTTCAGCACACAGAACAGCAAAGAGAGGGCGACCACCAACGTCATCCAGCCCCTGCTCAATGCGCAGTGGGTCCTGGGGGACTGGTCTGAGTGCTCCAGCAGCTGCGGAGCTGGCCGGCAGCGGCGGACCGTGGAGTGCCGGGACCCCAACGGCCAGGCCTCCGCCACCTGCAGCGAGGCTCTGAAACCC